TGGTGGCGTCAAATCTGGAGCGCGCAAGACGTTGAGGTCGGACGAAACTACTCTGCGACGCGCGATACGGACACGGCTTTCAAGGCCTTCACGAGTAGGCAATTTACGCATCATTGCAGAGTAAATGCCCATTCTATTCTACAAGTCCTGCGCTTCGCCCAGACGAACGGCACGTCTGGTGCGTGATGCCGTGGAGAGGCCGTCGCGTGGCTTACCAAGTGCCGAGATGGCGATTAGCTTTCCCAAGAGCCCAGATGGTGAAGCTGCGTGTAAATGGAGCATGCTTGAGTGAGTTGTGAAACCGGCTGCTCTGCACGGGCAAGTCACCCACCTATGGACGTAGTTTGGACTGCAGAATGGTGGGGCACATCGCTAAGCAAAACGTCTTTGCGTGAATGACCGACCGTCTGGACTCACTATGAAATGCTGCAATTGCGATTAAAGACACCGACAGTCTCCTCGTCTGCCCAAGATCTGCATCCGGCGCTTGGCGCCTAGTCAGTGCGAGGGCCGAGCGACTTTGGAGATCTGCTGCACTCACCCATCGTCGAGCTGCCGCCCCATGATCAGTGAGACACCTCGCTTTATTGCGTCCTTGTCCTCGCAACCCGCATGCAAGAGGGCGATGACCGCCCACGAAGTCTGCACCACCCGAGAGGTGGCAGCCTGCACGTATCTTCCTTCCACGCAAGACTGTCAGGGATTGTCATGATGCGTACTTAGTCCTGGCCAGCCACAACTTCTCACTTAGAGCTCTATACCATGCTCAACTTACCTTGAAGTCTTCACCCCAGCCGCCATCCTCGCGCTGCTTTCCAAGCAAGAACTGACAAGCTCTCCTCACAGGCTCACTGTTCTCGCAGCTTTGTCCTGCCAAGTGCAAGCTCTCCAGTGCGAACATCATGGCATAGGTGAAGCACACAGCCCAAGATCCAAACCAGGATCCGTCAGGCCTTTGCGCTTTCATGATGTAGCCAAAAGCGGATTTGACACAGCGGCTGAGGTACAGGGCAGGTCATGTCAACGATTGCCACGAGGAGTGCTTGTCGTGCAGAAACGTACTCTATATCTTTCTTGCGGTAGTTGCTGATCTGCTGGAATTTGAGCAGCCCCGTGACAACGCTTGTTGTGCCTGATTAACAGCGCTGTATGTCAGCAGCAGTAAAGCGTGTCGGTCATCTACAATTCTACGTACATTCTGGGTAATCGTACTCGATCATGATGTCCCCTGTGATTATCGATTCGCAATCAGCAATCGGAATGAGAGCAATTATTGATGACTGAAGCTCACCAAAGACTTCAGCGGGATTCAGCCACTCGAGCACGGCTACCAAATATCGGCCGGTGTCAGTACCTAGCACAGTGCAGCCACATGGGCAGACCACCTCACCTGGCCCATTGATCGTTTCGTAGCTAGCAAAGCCGCCACTCCTGTTCTGCATCGTCAGCAGCAAGTCCACAGAGTCGTGTAGCCGCTCGATCGCGATGCGCTGTGGCAGCCTGGAGAAGGATCTGACGTCAGTTGGACCGGTCGTGCAGCGGCGTAGTGTTGCAGAAGCGTAGTAATTATACGCACTTTGCGTCATTCTGAAGCATGATTGTAGCTTTCATGCCTTCTCCAGTACAATCGCTGACTGTATAGCTCTGCTCTTTCGTGCTGAATGGCCAAGCGCCTTTTGAACTGTACCGGTAAGCTGCATTATAGTGCTTCGGATTGTCACGAATCTGATGCTCGTCAAGCCAATCGAGGATTCGATAGCATGAGTTCTTGGTGTCATCATCGTCGACTAGTCCGGAGTCCACCATGGCTTGAGCAATGAAAGCTGTGTCTGCAAGTCCAAAGAGTGGCATGGAAGTCGAGATCAGCTGGAGCATCGAATGTCGCTTCATCTTCAAGTGCTGATTCGCTCACCCCAAAGCTGAGAACCATTCGTTCCCGTCATCATCATGCCATCTCTACCCATCCACATGAAATCTTTGAGCTTCTCCCGATGTTTGGCCATGACGTCACTGTCAGGTCCTTCTTCGATCCATCTGCAAATATAGTTGAGCATTTTGCTGACTGGTCCGACGGTCTGGTAGCTTGTGTTCTCGTCTTCCATAGCTAGCAGCTGGTACGCCCTTTTCACACCTGCTCTACGGAGTGGAGGTATGGAGCCACAAGACTCGTAGACGCCCAGCACTGCCATCAGACCTTCCATCGTCTTTGTGTGCGGGGCCCAAATGTCCACTTCTGCTACGTGGTTGCGTTGCGAAGGCCAGTGAATGCTCTCATACGGTTCGGTGTACAGCTCCTGCAAGCGAAAGAAGGTCCGCCGCTTGAGTGGATGCACGATTCGCTGACGTATGCTCAGCCTACTTACCTGCCTCAGAGATTCGATCAGGGGATCGACGGGACACTTGAAGCGCTTTGCCCAAAGATAGCCCATTGGCAAATACACCATTCGGGTATGAATCCACCAGCGCCAAGGGTGGAAAGGTATCCAGTCCGGCAAGCACCAGAGTTCTGGAGGGATGGGATGCATGCCCTCCCAGTCGTACACATTCAGGACGGCCAGCCACAGCTTGCCCCACGCTGGGACTCCTCTAGCACCGCCTAATTTGTGGAGCACTCCGCGGGCACGAATCATTGCCGGATGATCGGCCTCCATGCCGAGAAGGCGGCAGACTGTGTAGTTGGTGGCCGTGCCAAAGGCCGTAGACTCTCCTGCAATGTGGCTGAGAGTAGCCGCAAGCATCGAGCGTGATTTGTGTGGTCAGTGATGCCCCCCGACCGACGGCGCGTGACTCCAAGCTTACTCACAGACCCCAGCCACCGTCCTTGTTGGCGCGATTGACCAGGTACCGTTTGATCTCGATGGCCCACTCGGCAGGAACAGGCGTCGAGGTGACATACATGCCGATGACGAGGCCAGGCAGCAAGAATAGTGGTCCCCCGTACTCGCCCACCCAGTGACCATCGTTGGACTGTATGCGTCGATAGAATTTGAAGCCATTGCGTGCAGCGTCGATGGGATTGGTCGCTCGAGGTAGTTTGGGGGCACCCTGAGCACAGGAGTGGTTGCTGAGCTTCCGAGATTGTTGCGAACAAGAGACAACAAACACAATACTCACAATGTCCAAACCAAGCCAATACTTGTCCTCGTCAGATTGTGGCCATCTTGCGCACTCTTCGTCGGTGCGCAGGTAGTGCCACACGTGTCTACCATGATCTACCTCCAAGCGCCATCGAGAGTAATCTGTCTGCTCCATGATAGCAGGTCGCCAGAGCTTTGCGATGACCCCCTACCAGTGTGTTGAGCCTCTTTATGAATGAAAGAGAATGCGTGCAAACCTCGACTCGTGCTCAAGACCTCGGCTTTTCTAGGCGTGCGCGATGCGAGTCTTGACGCTGTGGGCGCAAGTCGCGGGGCATGTTCTACAGCGGTGATGGATCAGGTGATGTTGAAGCGCGAAGAAACATTCATCGTACTCTGCTGCTGCGAAGAGAAGCCTGTATGTCGAGAACGAGTGCCTTGCGAGCAAGAAGGTGCTTCGAGTCCGAGTCAGTGAGTCGAGCAGAATCGTTCGATTTCGGAGTCCTCTGCTGAGAATCTGTTGCCTGGAGACGCCGCTGCTGACGATCCGA